AAGAGATCCTCCCTGTGGGCACCAGACACCTGGGCATGGCCTGCGATCCCCTGAGCTCATTACACACCAGGAACTAGGAGGCCAGAGGTGGCCCCAGGTTCCCCAGGTGCCAGGGGATTTCAGGGGACTCCCCTGTCCCACAGGACTTCTCTGCCCCGGCGCTGGTGCTCTTCGAAGCCATGGACTTTGAGGAGGGCCCCAGCGTGGAGCTGAGCGAGGCGCTCCCCGACACCCGTCTGGCCGGCTACGGCCCTGTCACCCAGTCCATCCACGTGCTGAGCGGCGTGTGAGTCTGGGGCCGCGCAAGGGGGTGGCCACTCGTGGGACAGGGCAGGAGCTGAGGGGCCCCGTGTTGCTCCCTCGCAGGTGGGTGGCCTACGAGGGCCCCAACTTCTCGGGCGAGCAGTACGTGCTGGAGAAGGGGGTGTACCGCAACTGCGAGGACTGGGGTGCCACTGACTGCCGAGTCGCCTCGGTGCAGCCCATCGTGCAGGTGAGTGCCCCGTCCCCCGGGCTGGCGGGGTCCCGCTGTCACCGTGGCGAGGGCTGCGCGGTGGCTGAGCCCCAGCACGGCGCGGACCAGCCGCATTCCCTTCGCTTTCAGCTCGGGGAGCACAACCTGCACTTCATGTCCAAGGTGAGGCTGACGCGGCCAGGAGGGGACACCCTGCCACCGTGGCAGGGTGGCAGCAGTGGCTTTGCCCCCGTCTCACCCAGACCCGTCCCTGCTTTCCCCAGATCCAGCTGTTCTCAGAGCCCGACTTCCTCGGGGTCCACGTCTCCTTTGAGGACGACCAGAGCGCCCTGTCGGCCGCCTTTGTGCCGCGCTCCTGCCGAGTCCGCGGGGGCAGGTAGGACGTGGAGGGGGCGGCCAGCATGGGGCTGCCACGGAGGCTCTCTGGGGAGCAGGACGAGCATCCTCCCCGCAGGGCAGCCCGCGCTGGGGCCCCCACAGCTGCCCCTGCAGGTGCCATGAGGCTGCAAGAGCGCAGGGACGGGGTGGGACAGGCCCCGCGGTTGTGGGGGCTGCAGGGGCCGGGCCTGGCCCCGTCACCCTCGCGAACGCTCCTCTCTGCCAGCTGGACCCTGTTCGACGGGCAGGCGTTCACGGGGGAGCAGCACGTGCTGTCCGAGGGCGAGTACCCCACGCTCAGCGCCATGGGCTGCCTCTCCTCCACGGTCATCCGCTCCTTGAGGAAGGTCCCCGTGGTAAGCATGGCCCCCCCGCCGGCCCCAACCCTGACCTGCAGCTCCTCCTGGCCGGCTCCTCACACAGACGGCCCTTCGCCCTGTTCCCCCCCAGTTTTTCTCGGAGCCCTCCATCTTCCTGCACGGCCTGGAGTGTTTCGAAGGGAAGGAGATTGAGCTGAACAACGAAGTGCGGAGCCTCCAGGCTGAGGGCTTCAATAACCACGTGCTGTCGGTGCGCGTCAAAGGAGGGATGTAAGTGAGAGCGGGGCCGGCTCCGCAGGCTCCCTGCCCGCCGGCAGCCCCAGGGTGACCACGCTCTGCCCCTCAGCTGGGTGCTCTGCGAACACAGCGACTTCCGCGGTCGCCAGTGGCTGCTGGACTGCACCGAGATCACCAACTGGCTGACATACAGCGGCCTCCAGCACGTGGGCTCCCTCTACCCCATCCGCCAGGTAAGCGGGGCCGTCCCAAGCAATGACGGAACCCAAGACAGGCGCAGAGCGCGCCGGGTGCTCCAGAAAGGATGGAGAAGGGGTGTGACCCCACAAGCTCTGCAGGCGGCAAGGGGAAGAGCAGCCGAGCTGGGGGACCCGTGAGGTTGGTGGGCAGGAGGGGGCTGCATAGGGTGTGAGGCCTCAAGGAGCAACACGAAGGCTCTGGGGATGCCATGGAAAGCTCACAAGGAAGCACTCGATGACGACGGCCCCACGTTAGTGGCTCTGGGTGACCTGGTGCAGGCAGGGCAGGGCCTCGGAAAACGGTGCTGACAGCTCTGGCCCATGAAAGGTGCCGCCCGCCCATCACTAGCACCCCTCTAATCCGGGCAGCCCTCCCTGCGCTCCCACCCTGGGAGCGGCCGCGCGTGGTGAAACTCTCCCCGCGGGCAGGTTGCACAACACGCTGCCACCCCGTCCGGGAAAGCCGCGGCCGTGCCAGCCGCCAAGCACCGAGTTAGGGCCGTCCCCTTGGCACTGCCGGGGCACCCCGCTGGCCTGGGCTGCTCAGAGTGTCCTAGCGGCAGCCAGGGACACTGCCCAGAGGCCAGGTCCTCTCTTCCTGTACAGATGGATCTACAGAGCTCTGATGGGAGGGAAGTAGACGCCTGCATTCAGAGTCCAAGGGAAAGAAGCGAGCAAAAACTCTCTCTTTCAGAGACGGATATATTTCCGGATCAGGAGCAAGGAGCTGGAGCGCTTCCTATGCGTCCCCGATGACGTTGAGGACATGAAGGCAGGGCGCGTGGTGGTCTCGAGCCTGAGCGACCAGAGCAGCTTCATCTGGTTCTACGAGGAAGGACTGATCAAGAACCAGGTCAGGGCTCGCGTGCGACCGATAGAAACTTGGGGGGGTTCAGGGGAGCCCCAGGGCTGCGGGAGACACCTGGCAGGACCTGCTCTGCCTGTGTCCAACTTACTCTATGTCCTGCCTGCCTATTTCCCACCCTGGAGCGATCTTTCAGGCCTTAAAGCACAGAGCCTCAGATGACTTTTATTGCCCTGATCACGCCCACCTCTCACTGAGAGGTTTTCCTGCTTCACCCACACTGTATCCCACTCCAAACGAGGTGCATCTGACGGTCAGGGAAACGCTCTGCGTTCCGAACCCCCAAGTCATGCTAGTAGCCGTGCCAGGGCGAGCGCCAGGCAAGGATGAGGGATGGGAACAGGCTGACCTGGGGGCTGGGCTTCGTTCTAGGTTGCCCCCAACATGAGCCTGCAGGTCATTGGGCCCGCCGGGAAGGGCGCCAAGGCTGTGCTCTGGTCCGAGAACCGCGTGCCGCGGCAGACCTGGAGCATCGATTCTGCGGGACGAATCCACAGCCAGATGTTTGAGGACATGATCTTGGATATAAAGGGTGAGGCCTCACCCAGGGCACAGGGGCGGCTTTTCCAAGGAACCCCCAAAAATGGGGGATTTGGCTGGAAGATGGAGCTCCAACCCCTCCCCACCCTCTGAAACAGGAGGAACAGAGACCGTCCTTTCACAAGGTACCTTCTGTCCCCCCAAACCTTCGCCTCTCTCCGCAGGTGGCCGATCGTATGACCAGGATCACGCCATCATTTGGGACATGGCAGAGGAAAGACCCACACAGATCTGGGACGTACAAGTGCTATGAGGGGCCGCGCGTGGCCTTGGCTCCAAGAATTGCCACGGGACGGATGGGAGCACTCCCCAGCCCCCCCACACTGTGGTGGGCTGCATCTTCCCCGCACACACGGGGCCTTCACAGCCCCACAAGGCCCCCTTCCCACCCCAGCCTCCCGCTCCAAATTGTATTTATGTATGTATGTAAGATGCGGCGCTGCTCGCGCTGGGCCAGCACCGCATGCGTGGGCGCCTTCTTGCCCAGGGACCCTCGCACTCCTTGCCCAGGGGCTGATACCCCAAGCCAGGGCCTGGCACCCTTGTGAACCCTGCAGCAGCCCGGCCAAGGCCCCTTCCTGCTCCTTGGGCACGAGCCCAGTGCCATCTAGTGTCCAAAGGCCACGTGCAGCAGCCGCAAGCTGGTTTTAGAAGGCAGGGCAGACGCTCATGTGCCATCCGAGAGGTCAGCGTGCCCATGCCCAGATGCCAGCATTGAGCAGGCAGCATCACACGTGGCATCCGCCAGGTGGTGGCAGAGCACAGGCTCATGGAGCCCTCAGCCGCCCCAGCCCGCCGCAGTGTCAGTGCTAAATAAAAGAGGTTGTGGATCTATCAGCCCCCTGGAAACTGGGAAAGGAGAGGGCGTCACCACAGTATGGAGGGTGACCCCAGCACCCTGGGATGCCTTCGCAGGTCACAGCACCGCGCAGAGGGGCTCCAGGACCATTCAACCCTTCAGCTGAACGTGCTTTGGTAGCCAACACGTCAAGATAACCAAGACATTCGTATCGAGGGCAAGGGGCTTCTCAAAGCAGGCAGTGTTGGCATCACTACAGGTAACACCACCACCTGTGTCCCCTCCAAGTCCCTGGTGAGACAAGCTGGATATTCCCATCACCAGGAGAGCCAGACATGCAGCCAGAGCACAGCTGGGTTTTCAAGGCACACAAGCATCACAGCAGAACACAGGCTGCTCTCCAGACCAGAAATGCTGAGGATGGTTGCAGCACGGAGAGGTCACTAGAGAGCTCTGGCTTGAAGCTAAACATCTGCCAGCAGCCCTGCAGGAGAGGTACCTCCATCCTCACACCCCACAAGGCCCATAGAGGAAGTACCTCCATCCTCACACCCCACCAGCCCTGCAGGGGAGGTACCTCCATCCTCACAACCCACAAGCCCCATAGAGGAGGTACCGTCATCCTCACACGGCCTACATGACAAGTACCACCACCCTCAGACCCTCCATGCTCCAGCTGCCCTCCACCAAACACCAGTGATGCAGTAACCCAGCATGTCCCCAGGCCACTCTTATATACCCTGTTCCATGAAGTGGCGAGCCAGGATAGGCCAGGAGCAGCCAGGTGGCAGCACCCAATTGGTGGGGAGTAGGCGCCCTGCCACGCCATTGGCCGGAGGCTGCGGGGGGGTGGGCTGCCCGCAGGGGGCGCTGCGTGGGGCGGTGTTGCCGCCCCTGAGGTAAGGGTGTGGCACCCAGCGCCATCCTTGTGTCCTGTCCCCTGTGTCCCATCCCCATGTGGGTCAGTCAGGAAGCCCATGACAATCCCCAGCTCTTGGCTCGGAAGTCAGGAGGGCATGGGGGGGGCTGCTGTCCCCAGCTCCGTGGGTATTTCCCCACACTGAAACTGCACACCTGGCAGAGATGAGGCAGACACAGAGCTATGGTGCCAGCATTTTATTTCTCAAAGCCTGGGCAGCAGCGCGGCTGCTCCTGAGCCTGGGTGGGCTGCCCCACGCGTGGCCAGAGCACGTTGAGCCATGGCAGCTTCACCCGCACGGTGCAAAGCGTCGCTGCAGCGTCAACGTGTCTCGCCAGCACCTCGCGAGGGGAGCTGCAGTGCGGCCCAGGTGCCCACGCAGGGCCAGCAGAGCGGGTGCGGAGCAGCTGGTGTGTTGGGGAGAGGGACTGGCAGGCGGGAGCACTGGCATCATGCTGGCTGGTCCTTGTGGTGAGTGTCCAAGGATGGCGCGGCGCCGCCGGCCCGAGGGTGTCTGCGCAGGGTGGAGCAGCAGGCCAGGGCACTCGGGGGCCGTTTGCACCCAGGCTCAGCCCAGCCGCAGGAAGAAAGCGGCAGCCAGGCCCAGCGCCAGGGAGACGAAGGCCGTGCTGCAGCATGGGGCGGCCAGGGCTTTCGGTTGCTCTTGGGGACTGCTCGTGGCTTTCGTAGTGGTGCCCTCGGCCCAGCCCAGCGGCTGGAAGAGCAAACGGGAGAGTTGGGCACTTCTCAAAAGCACACTGGAAAGCCCCCACTACCCTTCAGCTGGGGGGCCTTAGGCCACCACAACAGCCCATTTGGGGACAGGGACCTGGCCAGCATCATGCCCCAAGGCGGTCAGACTGTGCTGTGTTGCATCTCCAGCACCTGCAGCACAAACCATTCCAGCCTCAAAGCAGCTTCTTGCCCCTGCCCAGCCTTGTTGGGCAGGTGGCCTCAGGAGCAAGTGAGGCAGAAAGGAACCCGAGGGGAGCCCTGTGACCTCTGCCCCTGCCTGAGGGCATTCCTGTGCCCCTTCCCTGTGGGAGAGGAGGCATCTTCCTGAGCCCTGGCCCTTTTTCCTGAGTTGCATGCAATTCACCCACTGCTTCTCTGATCCTTTTTTCCAATGGAGGGTACAAAACAAGCTTCATGCTGGCCCCTGTTTCTAGCCTTTCGGTGTCTGTAGAAAATGTGGGGGGCAGAAGGAGAGCAGCCGCCTCCGCCTCTCCAGACCGCTCCGAGGAAGCTGACGGGAATGTGGGGGCTTGCAAACCCGACAGAGGATGTGGGATGGGGACTCGGGGCTGCTAACCCCCTCGTGCTGGAAAAGGAAGGTGGGAGGAGGGAGAACCCCCTTCCCCGAGGCGCCGCAGGCAGTGGCCGTTGGAGCTGCTCTCAGCGCTGGCAGGGAAGTGGTCAGGGCCAACCCAGGAGGACCCAACGGTCGCCACAGTCAGAAACACTGCGGTTATCAGGATATGAAACAGCAGAAGAGCCTGGATGGTAATTTGAGAACAGTTCCCTTACCTCCCTAAAGCCCTCTCCGTCCTAATTAAAGGCATTTACTTGAATTCCTGCTGCCCTAGCTGTATATAACTCTGCTTGAGGTGCTTGGTCCTTCCTGTGGATTGACGAGCAGCTGGTTATAACACAAGGACAAGCGCTGCCTCCTCTGCTGGAAGTGGGTCGCCTGGGACCCTGCCCTTGTTTGCACTGCTCCCCGCTGCCCAGCTGGGGACTTTCAGTGCATTTTGGGCTGCAGCTCATGGGTTTACCCTCCAAATGGGCACACCTGCCCTGCAGATGCAGGTGGCAGAGCCTGCAGCAGGTCACATCACCTGCCACATTTGTGAGTGATAGCGGCCCAAACGATCTGGAGAAACAGTGGCAGGAGCTGCTTGAGACAGCAACCCCCTTGCCAAAAACACAAGCACAAATAAAACCGCCCGCCACAAAACGGCCTTGGCCCATGGAGAGCTGAGCATGACCAGCGCAGGGCTGGGTGCACGTTCAAATCAAGTCCCATCAAATCTCCCCGAAGGGAAAGAAAAACAACCTGCAGCCCAAGAGGCGGGAGGAAGCACACGCACTGCTGGCAGATAAGAAAAGGCTTACAGAAAACCCTACACAATTATTTAACCTTTAGAGATCACAGTGTAAAGCTTCCTATAGGACAGGGTGAACGAGCAGGGAGGATGCTCTGCTTTCTGGCTGCGGGCAGCATTCCTCCCTCTTGCTGAACCCTGCAGGCGGGTGGATGTGGCTGGACCCCCAGCTTTGGGGGCTCCCCGGGCTCCCCCGGGCCATGGGCTTCTCTTACCAAGTAGAGGGCGAGCAGGGCGAGCAGAAGGAGCAGGCGGGCACGCTGCGGGGACTGCATGGCGGGGCTCGGCGTCCGGGTGCGCTGCGCTGCTTCCTCGTGTGCTCCCCGCGACGGCAGCGGCAGCGGGCTCCTGGCGCGACGGCCGCGGCAGCGTCACACCAATCAGGGCACCGCGCGCAGCCCGGCCTGCCCCAAAGCGTCGCCCGCGGCCCCGCCGCCCACCCCTGCCACAGGCGCCCACCCTGAGCGCGGGCACCACCGCAGCGCACGCAGGAGGGACAGGGCTGAGCAGGCATGGGCACCGATGGGCTTACGGATGGACTTGCCCATCTTGGTGGGCTTTCCCAACCGTTACCATTCTGTGAATTCCCCCAACTAAGCCAGGGTTGGAGCGAAGCGCCACTCGGCGATGCCGGCAGCTGCAGATGGTTGACACCTTGGGTGTCTCCTCTGCCTTTGCCCCATCGCTGTTACGGGCCTTGAGTCATGGGGAGGGTTCGCAAATCAGCCAAGGTTTCAGCGAGGGCCCTGCCTTGCCCTCACAATGAGCCTCTTTCCCAGCAAACCGGGGCAAAAGATGGAGCCAGGCTGCCACATCCAGGTGAGGTGGCCAGCCTGTGCGACGGGCTGGACTCCTCCAGGCACCATTCAAAAGAAAACCACATCTCTATGGAAAAGATTCACCAGCTCACGCACCAGCACCGCTTTGCCAGGCCCTGCAGTCACCCCCAGGGTGTCTCATCCACAACGCGATGGAGAAACATGGCCCGGAGAGCAGGCTAATGCTTCCCTGCCCCAGGAGCTGCTTCCTTCGGGAAACCAAAGGGATCCCACTAGATTCTTTCCAAGAGAGTTTCAAGTAAGCAAATCTCCCGCAAGGTGAGATTAAGGTTTAGGGTCTCCCGCAAGGTGCAGCTGTTTGGGTTTTTTTTGCTCCCTGCGCTGCGTGCTGCAGGGAGCCAGTCCCATGGAGCCTGAAGGTGCTTGCCAAAGAGGCACCGAATTTGGTTGGTTTTTTTTGGGGGGGAGGGGGGTAGCTCATAGAAGCGTCAAAATGAAGCGGTTCACGTGGCTAAAATGGGACATGCTTGGCCTCGCTCCAACTGCAGGGCCATGGGAGGGTGAGGCTCTGCTCCATGCCTCTTCCTAAACGTTGAAAACGCCTTTAAACAGTCGGAAAACGCTTGTGGCGGGGGAAGATTTGGGGTGCGGGGCGGCCGCCTCACAGGGGGCGCGCCCCGACGGCCATTTCCTGACGGCGCGGGGGCGCGGAGCGGAGCATGCTGGGACATGTAGTCCTCGAGCGGCCTCGGGCCGCCACGTGGCCCGGGCTGGGCCAATCGCCGCAGCTCGCGTCGCCCCGGCAACCGCGCGTAAACAAGATGGCCTCGCCGTGCCTGAGGGAGCGCGGGTGAGTGCGACACGAGCGGCCCTCGCAGCGCGCACAGCGCCAGGCCTGGCGGCCGGGGCCCCTCCCCGCTCTGGGGTGATGACGGGGCGCGCCCCGAGCGCCTCCATGGGACCCTCGTGCCCAAGCTGCAGCCGGCTATGCCAAGCTGTACCCGTGCCCCTGGCTTCTGTCTCCCCGCCACAGCCCCCTTCATGCCTCATGTAGCCCGAGGCCCTGCTGTGGTCGTTGTTCCCCAATCTGAGGCCTCGAACATTTATATTATGACTGCTCCTCTTCGCCCCTTGGCAAAGCACCCTAAAATCCTGCTGCAGCAGTGCACACCACAGTAAATTACATTAACACTTCTCTAATTCCCGTGACTTCTTGTTTTTGGTTTATTTGATACCAGTTAGTTCTCCTAGTGCCTTAGTGCCTAGTGCCACAATCATGGTGAGACCTGCAGAATGTCACCCCCCGTGCTGTACTGCACACAGAGTATAAGTTATGGCCATTAATCTGAATTCTTTTTGTTTATGATCCCTCAAAATTTTGATTGCTGTCAGCCTTCCATGAACTCAATGCAGATGATCTCTCTTGATGCAGAGAATCAAGGCTGGTTTTTGTGGAACAGGGCACTCAGTTCAGTTCTATGTCTAACAGTGACAGTCTCAGCAACAATATTGGCATGAAGCCACCCAGCCCGAAAAGCAGGTAATAGGGATGGGGAAGACAGATTGGGGTGAAAATGTAGAGTTTGGGCTTTTTTTTTTTTTTTTTTTTTT